AGTATTTTTTGTTAATTATTTTTATTATTTAAAATTTAATGCTTTAATTTTTCATTTAAAAAAAATTATCATCTAATTAATTTAAAATTATATTTATTGAAAGTTTTGATTTATTTTTCTATATGTATGGATATTGGAATAAATTTTTAGAACATGATTATTATTATTTATTTATTTATTGAAAAATAGATTTAGATAATGTTTAAATTATAATGGTGTGATTAATATATATAATTTGTCCGAAATACATTTTTAGATTAAAAGTGTTTTTTAAATAATTTTTTCTCAGTTTTATTTATGTTATTTAAAATTTACTACATTAATTTATCATTTTTTAAAAAAATTCTCCACCTTTTTTTTCAATTTCAAACTTCGATTATATTGTGATTTGATCCCATTTTGTTTTAGTGTTTTTTGTTAATTATTTTTATCATTTAAAATTTACTACTTTAATTTATCTTTTTTTTAAATTCTCATCTAATTAATTTAAAATTATATTTACCGATAATTTTGATTTATTTTTCTATATCTATGAATTTTGGAATAAATTTTTAGAACATGATTATTTTTTCTTTTGAAGAATAGATTTAGATAACTTTTAAATTATAGTAGCATGATCTATATAATTTGTCTAAAATACATTTTTAGATTAAAAGTGTGTTTCAAATAATTTTTCTGACTTTTTTAGAAAAAAACTCAAATGAATTAATTAATAGTTGAAAGTCAAATTAATATAGCTTTTTATTTTAATATTATTCATTATTTTGTAAATAAATATACAAATTAAATTCAATTTTTTTCAAAAACCAATATTCTCATCAACATTAAATAAAAAAATTATTTGTTCAATTCTATGTAAGCTTTTAATAATTGTTATTTATGTTTTTTTAAACAATCTTATAAAATACTAAAGCTTTTTTAGAAAAATTATTTAATTTTTTTAGTTAATAATCCATGGATTAACAAGGATAAATCATTTTTCTAAAGGAAAAATTATAAAAAACACAAATAAGAAATAATTAAATACAAAATTTTTTATTAAAAAATTATAAATAATTTTTTTTATCTTTGATTTCATATATTTTTATATATTCATAGTATAAAACAGTACTATCAAACTGAAATGATTTTTTAAAATAATTTTATATATTTTATTCAATCCACAACGTAACGCAGGTAAAAAAAAACTAAGTTTATACATATAACAGAAGAGAAGCAGAAGCCGAAGACAATGGATGGGCTTAAAACTGGAATAACCATTAGCCCATAAATGGCAATGCTTGGATTTTGTAATGTTTAGAGATTTGGGTTGTCATGGCAAGAAGAAGAAGAAGAAGAAAAAGCCTCATATATCCTATTTGATTTGGTCGAGTAAGATTATATGTGGTCCCACGCATTAAACACCAACAATGACAGTTAACCATTAAATAGAAAAACTAGGATATTGTGGTTCTCCAAATGGATTTTTTTTCCTTTTTCTTTTTCTTTTAGGAATAATTTTCTTCTCTGTCATTAAATCAAAATCTCGTCCTTAATTAATGTCATCAAATCTGGTTGTAAAGCATCTAGGTTTTAAGAAGTTAAATTAAGATTCGTGGACCATGCATGGACTCTGTATGTATGGCCTTCTTGATGCCAACTCTTTTTTTAAAAAAAAAAGGGACGAAATAATTGAATTCTTATCTTTAATTTATTATTATTATTATTATAAATCAAATAAATCATGAAGGGAAAAAAATGAATAAATTATAAATTTGGCTCATAAGAAGAAGGGAAAAAAAAAAAGGTGGAAGTTTTTAAAGGGTCAAATCCTAACCTCCATTAATCTTGGACCAGTCGAAAATACCTTACTTACTTCTAATTAAACTTCAATCATCATTATCAATATGATCAATGACTTATATTCTTGTCAGATTTTGCGGTAAGATTTAAGAAGAACACGACAAAGCTAGCTAGCACTTCCAGCTAATAAGATACGTACGTTAGTTGAAAAATGAATAAATTATTACAATATCAAGTGATTTATTTGAGTTACGCTTTGTCACGCATATATATATAAGATTCGATAACTTGTGAATATTTATAATTCTCTACCGCCACCAGTAGTACTAGGAAGATAACAAGGAGCAACTTTCATGAATGTCTCTGTCTCCTCTCCACATGGCCATGGGTGGGTGGCTGTCTGCGGTTTTATATATATATATATATATATATTGCACAATTGGCATCTCTTTTCGTAGTACTTTCGCAGTATAAGTACAACAAATTAAGGTAGATCGTATGACAATTTGCTTCTTAGACAAATAACCACTCTTGGTGTTTTTTTTTTTTTTGAAAAAAAAACTTATTCATTTTATTCTCATCCATTGATTTCTTTTATTTATATCTTATAGTTAAACATGGGTATTCTATTATTACTCGATACATGCATCATTGAGATTTTGCCTTTCTTCTTGTTTATCACCTCTCTTGAAAGCAATGACCTTAACTAATGAAAGGAGGAGTTAGGAAAAAAAAATGGATGCATGTGTATGGTACATGTAGAATACTATTTATCAATATATATATATATATATATTGAAGAATCAATTCTTTGCGTGAAACTTAATCCACCATTGAAGATCAGCAGCTTACTAACTCCAACAGAAAAGATGCTGTTGAGCTAAATCAGTTAAAGGGAGACCTAACAATTAACAGATGTAAAGGCTGTTTAGCAGTAAATGTGAAGGCAATCTCTGGATAATGAAACGAGTTAATGAATAATGTCAAAACAGCCTTTACAAAATCCCATGTGAATACGTACGTTACAGTCTGCAGGAGGGGATTGGTATTTTTGCATATGCTTGCTAGCTAGCTAGAATCAAATTTAACAGAGTCTGTGAGTGCCAAGCTAGGCATCTCTATTACTGAAAAACCACCAATTCTCCAAGTGTACATTTTGCAATTTTTCATGCAGAACGTGTGTTATTATTTTCCTTCAAATACTCCTTTTTTTTTTTTTACCAAATAAAAATGTCATCCTTTAAAAAATCTATCTAAAGTTGAAAAATCCTTGTTTCTTGCTTTTTTTTTTTTTTAATAGAACGATAATATTCATTCCTAAATATTAATCCCAAATAAGTTTTTTGAAAAAAAAAATCAACCACTTAATTGTTAGTCCATTCTTTTTTATATTCAATTAGTCTTTTTTCTTTCTTTCTTTCTTTTTTTCCCTTCAATGTATATGAGAGAACCAATTCGAGATCCTTAGGAGGGGGAGGATACTACCAACAAGGAATTCAACAATTTGGCCAACAACATATAAAGGAATGCTATTTGACGGACCTGATTATCTTGACGACTTAAGAAGTCAAAATTTTAATGAGAAAAGCAGGTACTGACGCCGTGGTCTCATCTTGTGGGTGCTAAGAGTGACAAATCGGTGACCCCCAGAATTAAGGCAAAATTAGAAACGTAGGTCTCAAGGGAGAGTGTGATAAAACAAAATTTTCAGGTTTCCTTGTGATGACTACAAAGAAAGTTAAGGATGTATTCATGAAAACCAAAGAGTCAAATGGAACAGTAAAGTGATCTCTAAGAGAGATTCAAGATGACGAGTTTGTAAGTCTAAGATTTGATCCATTACACATTAAAGATGATCTAATGATGCGGATTAGGCCTAAAAAGTTTAAACAAGCTCTACATTCATTGATTCAAGAGTGTTTTGCAGAATGCACTTCCAAGAACTCAATGGAGCATTGTAGCACCAACTTAAGAGATGAAAAAAGTTCAAGACTTGTCAATCTGATCCAAATCTAAAATTGAGCTCTTTAAATTATATTGGGTCTATTTTGTTATATCTAACTTAATTATAATTAGAACTAATTAATTAAGTCATATTTGAGCTTAATGTTTTAAACCCAACTTAATTATAATTAGAACTAATTAATTAAGTCGATTTGGACTTAATCTTTTAAGCTCTATTATTTTCATATTCTTTTAAATCCATTAGGGTTTGTTTATATTCTTCTTTGATAGCAAGAGCATGTAGAGTTCTTTTAGAGTTAGAAGTGACATGTTTAGTTTATTTAAAGACTAGTTTAGATTTGTATCGGAATATAATAATTTTGAGAGTTAATAAATTTGAAATGATTTTTCTTCCTTTGTTCTTTTGAAAACTAAATCTAACTTATCAAGGATTGCAATCCTTGTAGTGTCTATAAACTTATCATCCTCCATAGGATGTGACATTCTTCACTTCATTGCAATATAGCTTTAGTTCTTGCCTCTTTATAGACAACAGGTCAAGTTCCGCTCATTATAACTTGATTGGACACGTTCTTGATATAACTTGATTGGAGTTCACATTACCTTGCATCACAACATGGAACAATTGCCTTGGAATAAATTAGCATCATATATATATATATATATATATAAAAGCCCTGAACTTCTGTAACCTGAATCTTTGTGGAGCATTTATTGCATGCATAGAATTGCTTCATTCATTTTGTGTAATTTCTCAATCTACTTCTTCCTTTATTACTATTTAACTCTCACAATAACGTAAATTTTCCATTTAGAAATACCATGCGTATCTTTTAAAATGAAGCACTAATACGGGATGAACATGCTATAAATAGAACAAATGATACCAATCCTGTTGTTATTCACATCTGTAATAAAACAGGGTGGCTATGAAACAAAAAACTAGCAAAATTATTGTCTAATTTATTGCATCGTTATATTACAACACTTGGAAGTTTTGCTGTCATCTAAAGCAAAAGGAATTTTGAATTTGTAAGTATGGATGCAAGCAATTGAATTTTAAAAATATACATTTCAATCAGTTCAGCTTCATTACAAAACCAAAGATCAAGAAAAAAAAAAAAAAAAAAGACAAATCAAATAAAGCCGGTTTCTATTAAAAAAAAAAAAAAGGAAGAAGAAGATCATCACAAATCCTACCTCAGCTATCAACTTCTATCAGTCATCAGCTGTTACCAACAAGGGTTTGAGGATTACGACTGCACGACTTTATTCTGTTTGACGCATGCAGGTGCTTTGAACTCCTGGCATTTCCACATTGGTGTAGGCTCAATTTGCATTAAAGTACCAGCAGAAGGCTCCATTGGAAACAAAGGCTTACTACGAGTAGTAGGATTGTCCACGGTCTTATCAGTCAATGGAAGACTTCTAGGAAGACTATCTTCCTTGGCGTTTGATTGATCCTTAGAATTACAAATGCTTAATGGCAACTTCTTCAGTTTCTGTCTTCCCCTCTTTTTACTAGGAGAGCCCGAATCTCCCCAAGTTTTCTCCTTCAAGTGATTTGACTCTGCTTCCCCGTTATCTGTGTCTAATTGGCCAGCTTTTTCACATTTCAATGCCCTTTCATCTGGTTTACTTGTGTGTGCCTCCTGGATGGAGTCATCAGAATCCAACTCACCGGCTATGGCATGCTCATTGCAAAAAGAAGGCGGATTTTCTCCAAACATTATGCTTCCATTTGAAACCCTAGTTCTTTCAGAACTTGGTGAGCTTTTAGGCTTCTTATTTCTATGACCACCCTTCAAGTCAGAACTGGAAGAATTCTTTGAAATTCTTGGTGAGCTATTCATAACTCGATGCAACTTACGGGCTAATTCTTCATCATCCCTATAATTCTCAACTGGTTGGTGCTTTTTGTACAAGAGTTGTACTTGGACATGCTTCTTCAACTTATTCTTTTTCAGGTATTTATCCTTGCCAGCTGCCTCTTCAGGAAATGCTGCAACTAAGGCTAAAGCATTCTTGGCAGCCGTTACAGCTTTTGCTGCAATAATAGCCTTCTCCTGAGCTGCTGCTCTAGCAGCCTCTGCAGCCTTAACAGAAGCCTCAGCTGCTGACTTCGAGGCCTCCACAATCTGCTCAGGTGAAAGGCTATGACTATTATTCAAATGAGAACTCAACAGATTGTTAAGACGTGTCTGAAATTCACTTGAAGAAGGAGAACAAGCTGTCGGAGAAGGAGGAGACGGAGGAGATGGAGAAGAAGGAGATGCCGAAGATGAAGAGGAAGCAATTATAGGAGGATGTGAAGCACCATCACCATCAGAACTCTGTTTCTTGAATCCAGCAAGCAGGCGCTTTCGAGGAGGCAAAAGAACACCAGCATCCAAGTGATTGATGTCACATATGTTAGCCTCCATTATTCCCAATCTAAGTCTTTACAACAAAATATTCAAATTCTCTATCTGATGACTCAACCAATCCAACTACATTCCTGCTTGAAAAGGAAAAAAAAAAAAACAGCTAACAGATTCATTATCAAGCATCAACCCCATTAACCAAAACCCTAAATCAAACAAATTCAGCAAAAACTAAGCTTACCCTTCTCAAAATCAAATCAGCACAAACCCTTTTAAAACCAGATCATAATTCATCAATGGATCATTTGTTTTCTAATCAGAAACTACAAAATGAATGCACCAAAACCCTATACTTTCCATTAATCCAATTCATCTTTAAACAACACCCCCACACAACCACCCCCCCCCCCCCCCCCCCCCCAAAAAAAAAAAAAAAAAAAAGGTTATCAACTTCAACTGAATCTTATGCAACAATCTTAAACGCCAAATTTAGCTAATCAACAATCCATCTAATACAAAAGCTCAAAACATTTTCAAATTCTCATATTTCTCAGCAACCAAACACAGCCAATCTTAGCTAATCAACAATCCATCTAATACAAAAGCTCAATACATTTTCAAATTCTCATATTTCTCAGCACAGCCAATCAATTTACCTCTACAACCCAAAAAGGATTACAATAAAATTCACCCACCATGCACCAGAAAGTCACAAACTTTCAAGAATCCATTAATGTAAACAATTGAATTCCTCAATTTCTATGCCAACCATGATCCAAAAACAGAGAATCCAAGCAAGATAAGAGGTAATTCACAATGTTAGAAGCTTGATTCAATTGAATTATGCAAAATCTAATATATTTCAATTCCATGTGCATTGATTCAATAACAAAAACACATAAAGCTTTGATTTTTATCAGATGGGCTGTACTTGATTTGAATTGTTAAGTACCTGATCACTTCAGTTTATGGTAAAAGAAGAGATGAAACGGCGAATTCAAAATTAGGGTTTTTTTTGGTTTTGTTCTGGTTTTTGTTACAGAGAGGAAAAAAAAAAAAAAAAAGGAGAGATGTGAGGAAGAAATCCAGGTAGGGAAAATCAGAAGATCCTGTTATTTATATTTTCGTTTAGGCTAAGGTAATAAAATGTTAAAGTTATGTAAGAAAGATGGGTATTTTTTTTTATTGGTTCTGGTTTCTAGAACTACAAGAAAACAACAAATCCAATTGCAAAGTGACCTAATAAAGTAATAGTAATTTCTTTTTGTTATCAAAATGGAACTTTGTTTTTGTGTTTGTATTAGGTATTTACTATGTTAGGCTAATCTATTGTTCTATTTTCCTTTTCCATACCCCTTTTCATACGATTTTGTGATGTTTTTGGATTTTTGCTGTTACATATTCGCCACCATGACATCCTTTTAATATAGTAATAAATTATTTTTTTGTTCATGTTATGTTATGAATTAGATAAAATATATAAAATTATTTTAAAAAATTATTTCATTCAGATAATTTGTTTTATAGTGTGAATCTATAAAAATATATGAAATCAAAAGTAAAAAAATATTTATAATTTTTAATAAAAAATTTTATATTTAACTATTTCTTATTTTTTTTATAATTTTTTCTTTAGAAAAATGATTTATCCTTATTAATCCATGTATTATTAACTAAAACAAAAATTAGATAAATTTTTTAAAAAATTTTTAGTATTTCATAAGATTATGTCAAAAAAATAAAATAACAATTATTAAAAGCTTACATAGAATTGAACAAATAATTTTTTTTTATTTAATGTTGATAAGAATATCAGTTTTTGAAAAGATATGTATTTAATTTTTGTATATTTATTTACAAAAGAATGAAAAATATTAAAATAAAAAACTATATTAATTTGAATAATTGCGTAGTTAAGCCAAAATATAACTTTAATTATTTAATTTAAAATAAGTTAATTTTAAAATATTCAAAACTAAATAAATAAATAGTAAATGTTTAGTGTATTAGTTGCACAATTAATTTCTAAAAAAATGACGATTTAATATTTTATACTAAGTGAGTTTAGAGTTTTCAATTTAAAACAAAAAATGCTATTAAAAAAAAAAAGCTAACTTGAAAGGAATCTATTGACTAAATTTGAAGTTAATAGAATAAAATAAAAATTATTATAAATTTGATTTCAATTAATTTTGATTATATAAAGAAGAAACAAATTAATAAAACATTTGAATTCTTTTTCTTTCTTTTTTTCCTCCTTAAATAATTTTTTTATTTCTATGCTATGCATGGCTAGTCTTTGAATATAGGCCTCACGTGTAGAGCAATCATCTTCTTTTTATTTTTCACATTTGATTTTTAACTATTAATTAACTAATTTTCTAAAAAGACTAAGAAAAAATTATTTGAAATATATTTTAATCTAAAAATGTATTTCGGACAAATTATATATATTAATCATACCACTACAATTTAAAAATTATCTAAATTTATTTTTCGAAAGAAACAATAATCATGTTCTAAAACTTTATTCCAAAATCCATACATATAAAAAATAAATCAAAATTGTCGGTAAATATAATTTTAAATTAAATGGGTGAGAATTTTTTTTAAAACATGACAAATTAAAGTGGTAAATTTTAAATACTAAAAATAATTAACAAAAAACACTAAAATAAAATGGGACCAAATCACAATACAATTAAAGTTTGAAATTAAAAAAAAAAAGGATAGAAAAATTGAGGACTAAGAATGTATTTCAGACAAATTATATATATCAATCATGCTACTATAATTTAAAAACTATCTAAATCTATTTTTGAAAAGAAAAACTAATCTTGTTCTAAAAATTTATTCCAAAATCCATACATATACAAAAATAAATCAAAACTATCAATAAATATAATTTTAAATTAATTGGATGAAAATTTTAAAAAAATGACAAATTAAAGTAGTAAATTTTAAATAATAAAAATAATTAACAACAAACACTAAAACAAAATGAGATCAAGTCACAATACTATTAAAGTTTGAAATTGAAAAAAAATATATATAGAAAAATTGAGGAGCATTTAATTTTAAATTAATTGGATGAGAATTTAAAAAAAAAAACAGAAGGACAAATTAAATTAAAAAATTTTAAATAATAAAAATAATTAACAAAAAAAACACTAAAATAAAATGAGACCAAATCACAATATAATTAAAATTGAAAATTGAAAAAAAAAAGAAGAGAATTTAAAAAATAACAAATTAAATTAGCAAATCTTAAATAATTAAAATAATTAACAAAAAACACTAAAACAAAAAGGGACCAAATCACAATACAATTAAAATTGAAAATTGAAAAAAAATATAAAAAAATTTTAATGACCAAAGTGCTACAAAAATGTCATAAATAGTGAAAAAAATAATGATCTGTGAGTGTGTGAATAGTGATATGTGAGTGTGTAAATAGTATTTTAAATAGTAAAAATGAATAGTAAAATCATGTTTTATTTTAGTTTCATGTATAATCTGTAATTATATTTTTTTATTCAAATAAGTAATTAACAAAAATAAGATATATTATATATATTATGGAAATTAAAAATATTTTATTATCTTACTTTTCATTTTTTTAATTTTCATGTTATATCATCTTGAAATGTGCACCTTCTACTGCCGATAATAAAGAGTAATTGTTTGTGCATTAAATTAACTAAATTTAAACAAAATTAAGAAACATTAAACTTTTTTAAAAAAATTTGGACCAAGCGATTCAAATACAATAGAATTCTTCAATTCAAAATTAGGTTATATAATCCAAAATGGTTTGAGTAGAAATGGTTATATTCATTTAAACAAATAGTTTCGAGTTCATTTATTTATGTAGATAGAAAATTTTTAAGATAGTTATCCTTATTTTATGCATCCAACCGAACTGTAAGGGGTTAGTTTGCTTTTTTAGGTTTAGATATACTTTGGAATCTAAAACAAAATATATAGGTTATATAGAAAGGCCAAATATCTCACGTACCTTCACAACTAAGCCATGTGATTCCTTAATTCAATCTCCATGATGAAAAATAATAGAACTATAACCTCCATCACCTATTTTTATCATTAATTGATGTCTATATAAACTTTTTTTGGTTTGTGTTATCACTTGCACTATCCATGACCCTTGCACTAAAAGTCTTCAATTTTTACGAGATTTGCTTGTAACATAAAATTCTTGAGAGAATGGAAAATAATGAGAGGTAGAAGAAATAAACATCATTTATTCAATCTCAATATGGCATGAAAAAAATAATCTTATGTGGTAAAAACACCTTAGTTTGAGAAGTAAGACGAAAAAGACCTATTTTGAGAATAAAGATTTCGGGAAAAAACTCTGCCATCATGTTCAAGAAAAGCTTCTTCCGTCTTATACAAATCCTAATCTTTCTCAATTTGATGATGATTTTATCTTTACATTAACCACAAAATTGGTTAAGTGAGATTTTTTTAAAAAAAAGTTTCACGATTAAAATATTACTTGGACCAACTTTCATATATTATGACTTAATTCACTCCCCAGTCTTATTAAAAACAAATTATTTATACATAAATTGAAAAATCGTGATAATTTTACTTCTCATAGTTTCAATGTATTATGAAATTTGATGAAATTTAAATAATATTATGATTAATAAAACAAATATATGTATTAATATTTGTTGTATTATCATGCGCAACACATTGATGGTAATGAAATTGTGTCTACACACATTAATAGTAATGAAATTGTGTGTACATAATCTAAAAAAGTTTATGAGTTTGACAATTACTTTAATTAAAATTAAAAATTAATACCTTATGCCCCTTCAATATTATTGTCTTAATAATTATTATTGCAAGGAAATCTTATCAACTTAATCTTTTTTTGGACTGCAAGGAACTTAAACTACGTATGAATTAGTTCATATACCAATTAAAATGGCAAAAAAGTGTTTTTGATATGAAATATTGAATGTCCATTTTATATTTTCACTACTCATACGATTCAATTCACTATTTAATATGAGAGATTAAAAGAG